ATAAAAAGAGGAGAAGAAGAAGAAGTTTTTTTCTCATGGTAACTCATCATTATTCAAAGGTTTCTTATACAACGGCCTCAAAGAAAGCCTTTTTCCCGTTACCTTAGAAGAAAAGGCCTCAAAACTCCCTTTTATAATAACCTACACTTTCAACAACTTCAAACTTGAAACAAAGGGAGAAAAATAAACACAACAGATAACATAACTCATCCTAACATCATTTTCCCCCTTCTTCATTAGACTATATATCTATTTTCCACTTTGTAAACTACACGAAACCAGCAATATTATCAAGCAAAGTTTGCAGGTAACAAAAATCCATGAGAAAGGTTCAAAGAAGGATCGTTCGTGACCTGTTGATGATAACACTGCAGTTAATAACGAGAATCTCGGTTATTCGCCAACACACTTGGCATTATTCCCGGCATGCAAAGATTCAAGTTAACCGAATTACCATTAGCCCCTTGGAATGAAGGCATTTGGATAGTATTATTTGCACTTTCAGTCGTTTTCCATGAACCAAAATGAACCGGATAACCCCAAGTTTGGCACCCGAATGCCCCAACTTCTGAACTCTCATGAAATGTTGTTGTTTTGAAAACCGAGCTTGATCGTGATTCTGGTAAATGATTGGCATTAATGATGATCTCGTTGCGTTTATCGAAACAAGAATCGAGAGTTCGTGTAGATTGAGGGACAAAATGGGGACTTTTTTCAAATCCAGGCCTAATTTGCCTCGATTGATGATCAAGGAACTCGAAAGACGATCTCGACCCTTCATTAGAATTAATCCTACTCGAAATCATGACCCTTGATGGATTCTCCGTGAAATCGGGATGAAAACGCGAATAGTCCAAAAACGGAGGACCTACACATGAGTTATTATGATAGAAAGGTGGTGGACAATCATTCTGAATACCACCCGATGACTGTAAATTTCGAAAATCGTTAGAAGGCAAGTTTTCCTCTCTATTCACCACCATTAAGTTCTTTCCCATCAATCTAAGGACAGGATTAGTAGTAGCTGATGGGACTGGAATTGACGAATTTGCCCCCGGCCAATCGATTTTCGGCTTGTCCAACGCAGCAGAATCATTTTCGAACAGAAAGGGCCTTTCGACTACAGGAATGGAACTCGGAGAATTTGATCGAGGCCTGTCGTGTTCGGGAGAATGTACTCTAAAAGTAGTCAAAGAGGAACTTCCTTGAAGTTCTTCTGAGCCCATACGGCCCGGACTCGGTATGAACGAGCCCGGTGGGCCCGGTATAGGTATGGGATCAACATCCATAAAATAATTGCCTTCTTGGTCAAATTTGTCCGAACACAACACTTCTTGTTCGCGTTCTTCATGCACCAAAGATTCTTCACCGAATGAGGCTATGATATTGGGCGGTACTTCCAAAATTGGCTCACGAACAAATTCATCTCGAATTTCAACGGCCTCTATAGCATCAGGAGAGAAAGCTGGAGTAGTAGTGTCTGTTAAAGAGGAATTAATATCCATGTCCTCTTGACTCAAGTTCAAGAATTCCCGTTTTTCTTTACGCGTTTTCAAAACCCCAGATGGATTATTGATCGATAAATTTCGAGAATCTCTTTGCGAATCGGACGTAAAATGCAGCCTCGGCTTCTTGAAGATCATAAATTTCTTTCTCCGCAAATTCTTTCGTGATTCTGAAAGGGAAGTATGGTTCATAGACGATGGATTCTTGTTCAAAGGCGACAACTTTATTCTCGTCAGTTTCTTGTTCCTCCGGAAAAAAGCTAGACGATCGTTTTCAGAGTCACTAAAAGATGAAGGCTCGCTTTCTTTTAGCCGCTTGAAATTATTGCTCTTAAGGTGCATGTCGTCATTTCGAAAGTCCCGAGGGCCGAATGAGAAAAATCCCGCTCGATTAATCTGACAAGGCATATATTCAGCCACCGATTTCGAAGCCGTGCTTATTTCCTTACTCTTGAGAGTCTGATTGGTATGTGAAACCGGATTATCATCATCGCATGAAATCGAGAATCTCGAGTCATTAGTTTTTTTGGTGAGCTTCTCATCTACAGAAAGTAGACCGTGACTACTCATTCTCGGTTTCTTTGCGATTTTGTTCACATGGTGATGGCTTTCGCACGCTAGAATTTTCTTCTTTTCAAGACCAGTTCTTTTCATATGATGACCACGCGCATCGAGAGGCTGTGATGGGATTTCTTTCTCATTTTTCTGGGTGTAGTTAACCTGTTAGAACATCACACAGTTAAAGTTCTGTCATACATACAAAGACACAAAATGGAAGGAAAAATAGAAGGCGGCAAAAAGACGATGAAATGCAATTTATGCAGTTTATGTAGTAAATAATCAATATACTATCAAACTAGAAAGGAAAAAAAAAATGACTGTAGTAAACAACTAATCAATATACCTCTGGACAACGTTCGAGCCTGGGAGAACATCGTCTTTTTTCAAAAAGAGGATGTTTTAAAAGCTTATATCTCTGAACAAGATGCTTCTTTTTCTTGCTTGGAACAATTTCGCTTGCTTTATCTCTCTGGACGAGCTTCCTCGTTCCAAATTCAGCTTCTTCCTCATTCGTATAATTCGATTTCACATCACTAAACCTCGAAAGAATCCGTAGCTTAGTGCCATTGGAATCAAAGTACACGTCACCACCTTCTTCATTCTTCTCCTCATCACCATTAGTCGAAAAATATGCATTATTATTATTAACAACATTACTCTCCGAATCATGCGGTGAAAACCCCCCATTCGAAGCCCAGTTAGTCCCATTCCTTCTATCGAGATCTTCCAAAGTACAAGAAAGAGCCGTTTCGTAGATATCAACCATCAATCGAGTCTTTCTGGGCTTTATTCTATGCTTCACCACTCTCGAATTTGCCGCCCATTTAGTACTCGACTCTCCCGACAAACACTGATCGATATGAGCATTCAGAGTCGTGTTTGAAGAAGATGTGAACGTTTTGCAAACCGGGCAAACTTTCGAACCCATTGTTGTTATTTCCAACAAATCGGCCTCGTTCGACTTTTGATCAGCAAAAGTGTTGTTTCCCAATTTCACGATCAATCTGCACGTCTTTGCAGGTGAATTTGACTTGATGGTTCGATTAGTGTCCGAAGCTATTAGATTTATGCATGCATTTTTATTTGCCACGGAATGAAGATGATCGTTCAACTCAGAGAACTTCACAGAAGAAGGAAGATTTGTGTTGCGATCGGCATTTTTTACGGCCGGTGGTTTTTTTCTCACGGATTCGAGAGTTTCAAAAGGCGGCAATACATCCTTCACGCCGTGTTTATGGCAAAGTTCTAGATTTTTCGAGGAAAACGGCCAGTGGGTCTCGATATCTTTTGCCCGTGTACTGAAAACATAATCTCTGCAGGAAAACTAATATCAAAAGATCTGCCAAATTCAAGAAAAGACATGCTTTTGTTTTGAAAAGATCTTAAAAGATTAGACCCCATGAAACAAAAGTTGCAGCATTTGGCAGAGGATTATTATACCAAGAAGATTGACATGAAAACAAAACAACAATATGGAAATTTTTTTCAAAATTTTGCATTTTTTCTGATCCCACAAAATTAGGTTGCATAAAATAACTAAAAGAGTAGGACGCCCAAAAATAGGTGGTCAGCATAAAAACTGGAAAGACAACAGCTTTATTCATTCACACATGTAGAAGACCCTCCAAAACCTGCTATCAAATAAGAATCACTTAACAGGAAAATTAGCAGGAAAACAAAAAATCAACAAAACTATCTCTTTTTCCAAAAAAAAAAAGAGAGAGAGAAAGAGAAGGAAAAAACTCAAGTAAAATGAAGAAAAATAAACAGACACAAATCACTTAGATCTGACCAAACCAACTAAGAAAAGCCCAGCAGATAAGATAGGGAAAAAAGTTTGTATATGAAGACACAAGAAAACCAATAAATACACACACAAAAAAAAAGTTGAAAAGTCATTACCTTATGGAGAACTTAGGAATTGTTTGGTTAATGTCTTCAAGGCCTGATTCGAACAGATCTACCTTATTACCATTATCAGAAGACCTCTCATCATCACTGGTAATAAAATTTTTGCAGCTACTTTTCAGCTGTGGAGTTTCAGAAGGACCGGGTGGAGGTTTTTCAGTGGATAGCATCTGCTGATACACTTTTTCTTCCTTGTGCTGTCTGGAAAATAACAGTCACAAGAGCTAAAAATATCAGCTTTCTCCAAACAAGGCCTTGACTTGTGACACTTAGCCTTCAGCATAACAGTAAGCCTATGAGGCCTCCCCTCAAGAAAAAAGAGAAAATTGCCCAAAAGTCTCAAAGCAAAAAAATATATATATAAATAAAAAACCCAACTAAAAGATCGGAGCTTTATTCATATATCCATCATCCCTGCAAAGAAAGAGGTAGAAAAAATATGTTATTATTGGACCAAGAAGAAATTTTTTGAAGGGAGAGA